AGTTCGTGCAGAATTTGAAAATAGGCTGTATTATTGTTTACAAAACAACCGAACCACTTCGAACATTTACTTCATTGACATTTTTAACAAATTTAACTTCATTAAATTTTCGTTTTTAGGCAAGTTTTCAGAATTATTGATTCACTATGTACAATTATTATTTATACCATTAGATAGCATTTTTTATAGGCTTTTAGTTTTTTAGTTGAAGTAGGTGGGGCCTAGGGGGTTGATGGGGGTTCTCTTTTGAGTTCTCTTTTATGTCATATTAGTTCCCCTTTCCTATCCTAGAAACGGTTTCAAGCATTTTTTGATATCATCTTTCGTTTGTTAAATATAGCCCATTATAAGTTTTTAAATTGTCGCACTCTATATTATTATATTTTCATATAAAATAATTAATAGTTTCATATTGGAGACACAAAATTTACATTGTAAGAAGTTGTAACACGCTGATATTTCAATCTCCATAAACATTTGAGCTACGATCGTTTACCTCTGAAGTCCTGATGAACTGATGTTAAACATAGACGAATAGTAAATATTTGCAGAAGCAATGGTAAACAAAAATATGCTCTGGATATTACAGTGTGGAACAACCAAGTGGAATTAATTCAGTCATTTTTGTGCATATTTGTAAAGCATTCAGACACATCAATTTTAAATTCTGAAATGACATGCTGCAACATAAACCTATATTCAGCCCCCTTCGAGTGAAAAAATCAATTATCGATTATTTAAATAGAAAATAATCGATTACTCAAAAATAGTTAGTTAATTGACAACAATTGATTAACAGAAAATAATTGAAAATAATCGATTAATCGACTATTCAGTTAACAATCGATATTTCTGTTATTTTGCCCACCCCTAGTTACAACCCCAAAATTTTTAAATAGGAAATAGGGTCTTGGGATACCTAACTTGAAAGGTGTATTCATTCTCTCTTTAAAAATGATAGAGTTTTAAAATTTATTGCAAAAATAAGAGTAAAAAAATTCATCTGATTGACAAAAGCTAATATTGATAGAGTTGAGTAATCGTGTCTGAGAAATAACTTATTTTATCTTAATGCCGTGAAATGTTTTGTCATATCATTCGGTCCCAGCTCCAATTATGTAGTATTTAATTATACAGTGATCAATACAATCCTCCAAAGACCAACTACTCGTACTATTACAGATTTAGGTGTTACTTTCGATAGGGAATTATATTTTGGTCCGCATATTAAGACTAGTGTATCCGCACCTTTTCGTCTTTGCGCCTTTATTGTACAAGCTAGTCAAGACTTAACTAATTCGTCATTCTTTACTACGCATTTGTAAGGTCAAAATTTGAGTATGCATCTATAGTTTGGAATCCATTCTATCAACTTCATATTAGATTAGATTTGAAAGGAGTTGGACATTATTTGTTCTTGTCCACTACGACCTTCTTAGATCTATTGTGTAGGATGTCGTCTAGCTTGGTCTTTTTTATTAGACAGTAGCTTTGACAGTGGCTGCCACATGTAGTTCCATGCGTCCGGCTTTTCTTCGCCTAGTGTTAGAAATATCAATCTAGCCAGGCCTCCACACTGATACAGGACGCGAATTCATCTTTCCTCTTCTGAATCACATAACCTTCACAAGGTTGCTTCTTCTGCTGGATTGATGACACTCATGTGCCTTCTTAGGTGACAGTGTCCAGTAAGAAGACCTACTGTTATCCCAACGATTTGTCGTTTTTGATCCATTAGTTCTTTCCGACGGTTCCTTAATGAACTCTTTGGCCTGTCTCAATATTGGTTAGTTTTTCCATCATTTCTGAGACTTTTTGCATCAATTGTTTGACGGATGCCTTGCACAATGCTTTAGCAACACCACATAATGATTCTCATGGTCCTATTTGACTAGTTCGTCGACCTTTTCGTTGCCCTGATATCCCTCGTAGCTTTAGCTCTGCCAGGTCATCTAAACAGTCTTTCACTTTATACTAACAATTTAGAACAAGTCCAAAAACGATTTTTAGAACTGTTAAGTTTCAAAATTGTCCACCTTGCTTTCGGAACACCTCATAGTTCCTTTTTGCAAAAGACACGCAGTTATTAACTTATTAGTTCGCCGTTCATGTAACTCGATGCTATTTCTATTTAAGTTACTGACTTATGAAATTGGTTATTGATGATTCCACTATCTTAGAAAGGATCCACTTTCATGTTCCTCGATTATCGCACTCTCCTATTCATGTAATATGTGAATGTTCTAACGAAATGTGCGACAATTTAGACTTAATTGTACTGTAAGCAAAATTAAGAATCTTTATCTTATTGTGATGTTTGTTTATTTTAAAACAACAGTTTATTTATTAATAATTTATTTAAACACTTATTTATTTTATATACTATTCTAATTTATATATATTTCGAATGTCTTTGAATCGTTTACTATTTATATTCACCACTGTCTATCTACTAATGACTTTTTGTTGATCCTCCACCAATATTTATATACAAATTGGTGATTACAGAATGCTCCACCAAAACATATCATATCCGGAATATTCCAGAAACATTATCACGTTATATCTGGAATGTACTCGAAAGCGCCTTCGCCATAGTCGTCACATATGTTTGGTCTTTTAAACCCCTTGTTTAATTATGTATGATAATCGGACAAGTTGAGCCTTAAAGGCCAAATAAGACAGAGAGGGACTTGGAGGATTAGAGCATGACTGAATAATGAAATGGCTCACATAACATTATATTAGCTTGTAACTCTTGTTCGAACTGTAACGTACTTACTTGTAAATGTTGTTGTTTGTAACGGTTGGAACCGTTATTTCGACACAACCACCTTTCACCTCTTAAATGTCATTTGTCGTTTTCTTCTTCCTTGATTCGTATTGTGAGAATTATTTTTGACTTGGATGTCAACGAATCAACTTGATTTGAATTTCAATATATCTAGGTCATCCTATGTATTAGATGATTTTTAATATTCTTATTAGCCGTCTGATTTTATAAGCATGGCTATATCTAGACGGTTTTGAATTTCTATCAAGATGTTTTATGGTTTTTATACCTAGAAGTTTGTTTTGGTTTTGGTACAATCTGAAGACCGTGGTTTGATTCATCTCTAGAAGAATCCCGAATCCCTTTGTAGAAATTGCCTGAGGATATACCATGCGATAAAACATTCCTTATATTACCTCCTTTTAACAAAAATATTTATTTCTCAATAAATTCCAAGGTAACCTATATATTTTATTGTAAAAAACAAAACCTAAATATTTCAAAAACCCTATTTTTAGTTTTTTTTCTACTCCATCTAATCAATAAATGATAATATAATTCGAGAATTGTTGTTGAGGTCTTATTTTCTCGTAAGACACTGTACAAATACTCACATTTTAAAAAAAAAAATTCTCAAAAATTTGCACGGTAAGGTATAGTTAAAAGTTCAACATTAGATAAATAAGGACTTCAACTATTAGAAAAAAAAATAAATTTTAGTCATAATCTCATATTTTTTATTTAACATTGGTGGCGAAAGGGGTGGCGAAAGGACCTCCTTAATTAGGTTTTCAATTGAAAATAAAATCGACCGCAACAAACTAAAAATTAATACAATCAAATGAATGTGTTTCTAGTTTAACAGTATTAAATGCAAGAATTTTAAAATCGCTCTATTTTTAAATATATATTTTTTCAAGTGCTGTTATAAATTGTTTATTATACCTTATATTCAAACTACACATTTTTCAGAGCACTAAAAAATCACCTGTTTTCTCTTTGACAACGATTATTATTAAAAATTAAATTAAAAAAAAAGGTTAAATATATAAAAGTCAGTGATTAAAATCAACTGATTTAAATGAGGCCAGCCCTGGTACCATGCATGACCAAATTTTATTCTGTCGGTTGCACTTGTGACGCTATTCCTGGAATAGTTGAAGTAGTCGTGTCAAGATGTACCTATTATGAATAATTGGTTCTCAGAGCGTACAATGAACATCATAATTATTATGACTATCTGTTTTTAATTTATTCCTTTTGCGTCTTCATTATCATCTGAATACTAATTTCTCAACAGATCTTGACTTTTCTTTATCTTTTTGGTAAACAATTTCTTCATGCCAAAAGAAGTAATTATTTTTTAATTGAGGAAATTTAAGTTAGTTTTCGAATGAGATTACAATTTGGTCAGAAGAGAAAGATAATTAGCAATTTTTCAAAAAAGGAGGAGTTTTTCAATTCTTCGGAATATATTTTTTTTATGTATGTTCAGCCATGAGAAAATCATCAAACTCTTCATTTTTTATGAATTTTCAGCGATAATTATTTACCACGTTGTCTGATTTCTTTTTTTTTTTTGTTAGAAAGGGGATACCTCAGGGGTAGTTCCATATACTATTGGTTAGGATCTGATGTTCTATGAGAAAATAAAAAAATCTCAAATTTTTTAAAATTACTTTTATAAATATTATTTTTTCCACGATCACTATTCAAAGTAGCCTTTTGCGCTTCGAAATACAACTACAAAGATGACGTTTTCCGCGAACTGACATTAAGTGACAGCTTTGTTGCTCGCCGAGCGGAAAACTTAACAGCTTTGTTGCTCGCCTAATTTAAATTAGATATAATATAATATTTCTTTTTAATAATTATTTTCATGTTATTTGGCGCAGTTTGTAATTTTTTTATTTTATTATCCAAGTTAAAATTGATTTTGAATATCACCTCGTTTTTTCATGATTAATGTAGATATAGGCAACACATTATACACTACATACTACAAATTTTCAGTTTTTATATCTATTTCTTAAAATAATGTTATCGTAGAAAAAATCTTGTGTGCATTTTGAGCAACAAGTACGTTACCAACTCTCTGTCTCAAGCGGCAAAGTACGACTTTTCGCTCTTAATACACAAACAGCTCTTCTCGAATATTCTATAATTACATCGATTTTTTTGTTCATGTGTAATATACCTTCTAAAACTCGTTTTTCTTTAATTACAGACGGCAAAGTTGAAGTGTCTAGAGAAAATAAAATACTGCATCATTTGGATTCCGGAAAAGTTTTGGGAGAATTAGCAATATTGTACAACTGCCAGAGGACTGCTACCATCAAAGCTCATACAGACTGTAAATTATGGGCCATAGAAAGACAATGTTTCCAGACGATCATGATGAGAACTGGTCTCATCAGGCAAGCAGAGTACACAGACTTCTTAAAGAGGTATGAAACTTATTTATATATAAATTTTTTTATTATGAAAATTTACATACATGTTTAAGGCATTATATGTACATAAACTAGGACGTTTTTAGTAATTGATCTCACCCCAATTATACTTCCAATGAGAGGTGAATCATATTTATAGAGTTGAAGGGCTAATCGAACATGAATATATTTCCTATCATCATGAAAGATCAGTAGTGGTGATTAACAAATTTATTCATTTTCAGTCAATAAAAAAGATGTGACTACATTGAATGAAGATATCCAAGCTAGCACAAAAACACCCCATCTACGTTAATAAGCTGCAATTTTAGGCTCTTTAAGCTCACATGCAATGTACTTTTAATGTAACCCTAACATCCATGCAACTGCCGAACTTTTATAGAACATCTCATAGAGGTTACAAAGTGAAGTTCGGGAAAACATCACACTAGCACTTTTACGGTACTTTCCCCCAGAAGTTGTTCTAAAACGTACTGTAAATTTGTTCTACAGCATTATAAAGTGTGTCCACGGATGGACTATACTTGTAAAAATATTTATTTTAAATAATTTCTCTTGCTTGTTAAATAAATACGATTCACGTTGAGAAATTATGCTCTGTACACTGTACATTATAGGTGTGGATGAGTGTTTCTGGATTGAAACGGTCGAAACGACCAAGAGCTCCAAGAAAACCAGCTCGTCCACGCATCCTATCGAGGGTGAATATCGTAGAAGCAATTCAAGGCGTTATTGAATCTTCCTCCCAGGTAGTCAAAACTTCAGTCAATTTTACGAGCCTTCCAGGATATCAATATTTACGTCTAGTTTTCGCTTGTTGGAGAGTTTGATACGATAAACTGGTTTTTTTAAGGATTGAGTGAGACTCCAACTGACGCGAGTATACTGGTTCAGCAGATTTTGGGTTCGGATTTTTAGTTGGTTAGAAGTTAGAGAGGTTTGGGGGGAGGAAGATCGTGTATATGTATATGAGGTATAGGAGAGGGGCTAGGACTGAGCCCTGTGCTACCCCTGTTTGAGAGATTAATGGATCGGACAGGGCGTTGCCAATTTTAAAACTGTCTGTGAGGTAGGAATGAATGAGTTTGTTGACGAGTAGATCTACCTATGTTCACACGTTTCTTGATTAGTCCGGCATGCCACACAAAGGCTTTAAAAATTTAAGACACAAAAGCAAAAAATACCGAAAATCCCTTAATTGATTTGACTGAAACTGACTGTGAAGACCATTTAATGCATTGGCTGTGATACGACGCACAGTGGCGCGGAGCGCCACTGTGCCACCCAAATTGCTCTACGACTCACAGAATTGATCCGTTTTAGACGTGCGTCACCTTAAAATGTTCGTCTTGAGTTTGCCTATCGACCCTTGTTCCGGGATTTTTGATTTAGAATTTTATTTTTCTGTAATTTGTGTCCAAAAATTTACTTTCATGGAAAAATGGCGATTTTGGGTGCAAAAGTCATCCTAGCGAACGCAACATTGAGTTTTTACAAAACTTTTTTGAAGGAAACTCTTCCTCTTGACAACCCCTACAACCCTGTGCACGTCAAATTGCGAGAGAAATTGAACGAAATTGAATGAAAAGTGTTCAGTATCACTTAAGGAATATGAAAAAAAATATACAATATTAAATTGAGGATTGGCAAGACGACAGGTGTTCATTTGAAAATGAGTTTTATATCTACATTACACTGCTTTACATAGTTTGAAATTACGTTTTTCGTCATTTCATTGTATTAAAAGCACTTTCCTGGATTAAGCGAACACCATTTGGGCCATACCGTGTCAACTTTGATTCCCCTATCAACCATTCTGTCTGTTTGATCAAGGAATCTCGTGGTTACTTCATCAACAGTAGTTTCCGGTAAATCACTCCAAAGTCTTTCCGCAAAAGCCGTCGTTCTTGGCCAAATTCGGGTTTCTAAAGTATCCACGCCGACTTGTTCTGTCCACAAACAAGCTTCTCCTCCCAAAACTTGTTTTTTGTACTCTTTATACTCCTCCCAAGGTCTGTAGTTGTAAAAAGTGTTCCAAGGGGTGTAAGGATCGCACGAGCCGGCGGTTTCTGAGGGTTTCCATGAACCAAAACCACAATCTAAATACCATTTTCCTACTGTTGAGTAAATAACTTTGTTTCCATTTTGTAAGATATTCTCCAAGCTTCCAAACCAGTATTGAACAACTAGGTTTTCGGAATATCTTAGTTTGTTGAGTTTACTACAAGAAAGAAGAAGGAAATTAAAATTTTCATATATTAATAAAAAATCTTGAGAGGTGATTTTGACTTAAACACTTTTATACTCTGCAATCAAATGATAATTCGAAGTGGTAGCAGTGGTGTTACAAAAGGTAGTAGGAAAGATGAAACAGAAAGACTAAACTGATATGCAATAAATGACCAGAATGTACTCACCTATCAGTGAGTTCACTTGACCAAATAACCAAATTCTTCGGTGGTGCATTATGGAAAGCTCTAGTAACTGTTTTAAGTATTTTATTCATATAATCTACCCACAAGTCACCCAAATCATTGAATAACCTCGCGGCGTTGGTTGTTTCCAAACATGTGCTGTTTACTTCGTCGCCACCAATATGAAAAGTTTCTGTATCAGTTCCTAACTTCAACAGGTCTGCATAGACAGATTTTAATAATTTTTGAGCCCTTTTACTATCGGGATTAAGATGGCCGTTGAAAATGTCCTCTTCTCCGCAAATTATGATTTTGTCTTCGTCAGTATTTAGATGGTTCCAACCTGCATTTACGTGACTTGGGGCATCGATTTCTAGAATTACTCTTATGCCTCTTATTCTTGCGTATTCTATCAAACCTGATAAAAGAAAATTATTAATTTTTGAATTATTTATGTATATTTTCAAATAACCTTTTCTACATGGTGTCATTGAATTGCATGTACATATCTTACGTTTAAATTATGCTAGTTACTTTGGCCATCCTCTGTTAAGTTTTTCAATGTCGTGTTAACGTTGGGGCGTTAATTGTTTCCTCAAAAGTAACTAACTACAACATTTTAGGGTATCCAAAGGTAACGCACAAATTTCGACTATCTAATAAACAGCATTTGGCAGCCGATTTCGCTCTGAGTGGAGAAGTCGTGGCCCATTTAGTAGCAAAGTTTCAGTATTTAAAACAAAATATTCCGAACTTTCGACAAACTAACATACCAACTGGCAAACATGACTCGACGTCAACACTTGACTTTCGGGTGTTCGGGGCCGATAACCTATGCCAACTTCAGTCTAAATTATTGGTATTTTTTCAACATAATATTTTTGCATATTCTAATTAATCTGCTTTTATATATACATGTATTTCAATAACGCCTTGTATATTAACTAACCTCTAATATCCTCGGGAAAGTACACCATTTCGGAATTATATGATCCATATTGCGCCATCCAAGGATTGCTAGGCAATACAATAGGAAAACTGACAGAATCTGTCAAATGCAAATGAAAAACGTTCATTTTATTCATTGCCATACCATCCAAAACTGTCAGCAATTTTTTTATTGGGAAATAGTTCCTAGCTGTATCAACCATTAACCCTCTATGTGGAAACGCTGGGCTATCTTGGATCTCCACGTCATGATAAATTCGTAACTTTTTAGAAAATGTGTTGAAAACTATTAGTTGACTTAAAGTTTCGATTCCATGTCGTGCCCCAAAATAAGTTTTGGCGATAATTTTGACTGTTACATACTTTTTGACTTTGTTAATACTAAGTTTGTAGCTTTCGTCAGTCGCTAATTGAATTTTAGTTTCGGTGCTAGTTACTTTAATGTTGATATAAACGTTAGATAAGTCAACATCTTTTACCACAGATTTTTCTATAGATGGTAAATTTAAAATAAAAATATCTAAAACCTCCTTTAAACTATCATTTACTCTTCTTGGTGCATTTATGTTCGTAATTATATGATCTCTTCTAAACGTAGATAAATGTTTGTTCTTTACTTTTACAAATTTGGGTTTGGGCCAAAGAGATGGCATGTTACATAACATTATACATTCCTTTAAAGATGTTGTTCCGTTCTCATTTAGTAGCCTTGGTATGCATTGATTGTTAATGCAGTCGTAATATTTCTCTTTATTCTGAAATACTAATAGTTAATTTAATTTCAATATCGTCTGAATTAGTAGTTTGTGCAACAAGAGTGGATATGACGGTCAGAGCGCACGAAGACAAAGTTTGAGCACGACGCTGTAGGCGGAGTGCTCAATTGTCTGAGTGCCGTACGGACAATTCACTCGAGTTGTTCAGTATATTTGTTCTACGACCCACTAAAGAAAACTAAATTTAAAAAATTAGTTTAGATCATTAAAATAAAATAACTTAAATTAAAACAGCTAGATACCAATATCGCTTCGTACGAGGGATGTTCTCTTTCCGTTCAGCTTAGTAAAGTAATACAAAAAAATGTTTATTTATAATTTTTCTACAGTCAATGCATTTTTGCATCCGCGATCTATATCTGTAACGTGTGGAGGGTGGGTTACCCCCACGGTACTTAGGCCTCATTAGGTCCATTGTGCATCCTCCTGAGATGATAGGCACCTCCTAGCCTACAGATTTAATGTAGTTGACAACGTCGCCAAGAGGTGCTTCTCTTATATCGGCCGGTGTTAGCCGATACTCGCCGAACACATATCTTCTAATAAATAGGAGCGTCAAGCAATCGTAAAGGATATGCTCGATGGTCTCATCTTCTTGTTCGCACCCTTTGCAGAGTGTGAATTCTGACAGCCCCATGATATAGAGATGCTTTCATACTTGGCAATGACCAGTTAGAATGCCTGTGACTAGGCGCAGATTCTCTCTAGTCAATTATTTGTTTGCTGCAGTGTTGTCAGAATAACTTAAGAGCTCCATGGCAACATACATTATTCAGTTTGTTGGAATCGGTTCATTAAGAGGATTTCAAAAATATGCAAATATACAGGGTGTTTCATTAAAAAAAAAACACCGACTATGGCATACTTGCGTGAATCACCCTGTACATTTAAATTTATGTTTACATAACGCACAACTCAATTCAAAAGTTGACGTGTCTCGGCATTTTTTACAATTTTCTAAAATAATGACATAAAGAATTTTATTCGATAAGTGGTTTCCACACTGTATATTATGACTAATATAATAACAATAACAAAAAAAATACAACACAAAAAAGCGGAAACATGCGAGACATCATTATAAAGATACAAGGAATCGTTATAGTCATCAAATTAATTTTACACTGATTTAGAAGATCACTATAAATTAAGATTTTAAAGAAACCTTACATAATTTTGTTATATATTGACATACATTTCAATATTTTAAATTTGAAAAAAAAAATGCTAATTTTGTAAAAACATAATAAGTAAATAAATAATACTTAAGACATGGAACGGCATTCATACTAAAAAATTATTCTTAATAAAAACAAACAACTCTTGTCACTGTCAGAAAGTACTTAAAGATTGAAGATAAACAACCGTTCACACTCCTGTACCCCAAAACGTTTGAAAGAAGACTAAAATAATAGGCACATTTATTATTTTAAAACTATATATTTTGCAGATCTGGTTAGCCATATATGTATTTCTTAAAATGCGTTGGTTCAAAATAAAATGTTTTAAAATTATGAATTCTTATTTTTGGCCAGAAAAATGCGATTAAACCCCAGTGTGCGATGTAAAACATAAACCTCTTAATTTATCCTTTACCCGTGGAAAGAAATCATTGAGGGTCGGTCTTTTCATCTTCAGATAAAGTGTCAAGTAATGTTCATCTCCAAAGTAACTTAAAAAGTAATCTTTTCACTTCGGAAAGATCTTACTAATGGAATTCCTAATAAAATACTTCACTGATGGATAAACAGGTAGCTACATAATCACAAAAAGGTTGAAAACTACTGGATATCTACCCTACATATTATTTACTTAAAAGGACAGAAAATTAATTATCTGACAGATAGTAACTCCCAGATAATATATCCGTCAGTTAGTTATCTAGAAGTTTATCTGAAAACTGCCGTTTTTTTGGCTGTCATTTAAGGAAAGTCGACCACGCTGAAATTCATTATACCATCGCTTTACGGTAGCGAAATAACACGACTTGTCACCAAGCACTTAAAACATTCATTACGGTTTAAGCCACGCTTAAAATTGTAAAAATTTACAGCCCGATAATGAATGCTCCTTGTTCATTCCATCACTTATTGGCGAAACGATTACTTTAAACTCAAAATGAGGTATATTTGACAACTGTCGCTAAACAAACTTGTAAACGACTAGATTGAAATGCCAGACAAATTTTTTGCCTACTAGATAAGCTCAGCCGAAAGAAAGCAACCCTCGTAATATCTGCCTCAAAATTTTGCAAATACTATTTATTATTTTAAATTAAAAAAATTGATAACTATTACAATTTTTTATTATTATTTATATCTCTTTCGTCTATCATCTATACAAAACATATACGAGTACATTCAGTTTACAAAAAGTTAATCAATTAGCTTGACTTAAATTGATCAAATAAGTTGATTTTTTTATATATTTCGACTACTGTGCTAAGTGGTCGTAAATAAAGATAAATGTTTATTAGATTTACGTTTACATTGAGAAAAATAACTTACTTAGCTGATTATCTTGAACAAAAATCTTGTTTTTCTCCATAAATCGGGTGATGTAGTTTTTTTTGTTAGCAGCCAGTTGCACCCCGTAAAAAACAATCAACAATATCGCAAAAGAAATTAGGCATTGCAAAAATAAGGTCATCCTAATGGGCTTTCGCCTATTTCTCTTATGAACTCCCAATCCATTTAAATTTTTGTTTTCACTCTCGTCTAAATTTACTAAAGTTTGAATAGATTCGTCGCCTGTGTTCATCATTGAATGATTAAAAATACTGATGATATATTAGAGAGAAATGATAAGATAACCTAGAGAGGTTGATATCTTGTGTGCATGTGTGATATGTTATTATCTAATTGAGATGCAAATCGAACCTGTATTGGTAATGTGCAGAGGTGGATTTACAAATGCGCCGCCTATAGAATACCCCAAATCGCCGCTTATGATATATATTTTTAAAATCTGAAATATGAAAAGTATGCTAACGTTTTTTAGAATTACATAAAATTCAATAAAAACTTTATTCTAACAGATTATAAAAAGAAAAACACATATAGGTAATATAACACATATTTACATACTATAAAAAAATCGCCTTTTCTTTTGCTAGCATTACACTTTTCGTCTGAATTTATTTACAACGAAAATTTTAATCACCTCGTCAAATGTAATCGAGTTCGTAGTGTCAAATACAATTGATAAAACTGCTAAATCGTTCGATCTGCTTTCGAACATACTTGTATGTATAGGGGAGCGCTGGGACGGTTTGGACAGGGGGAGGCATTGGACACATTCAAATTTTCCGCCTGATTACAAAACAGGTCAAAAGAGATACTTAACGGTATACACATTTGAATGTTCTCAGCACCCGTCTAGACGTGAAGTAGGCAGGTCGCTTCGTTTCGACACATCACAAGTGTCGTATTATTCCACTTGAGCCATAAGCACTGCAACTGTTGATGTTTGTCAGGAAAATACTCAATTAGGAAAAGCGCACAGGAGCATGAAGTTAAAAAATCAACTCTAGCATTATATGTCAAAAAATCAAAAGAAGTTGGAATTGAAAATACGTCATTATCTCCACGTTTCGTCACATGCTAAGTGTTATCCAATAAATTGGAATCTTCACTTGCCTGTTACCTCAAAACATGCTCGAATATGTACCATGGTTTAACTCCAAAAGCTACATGCAGACTGGCATATGAGTTTGCTGAAAAAAACCACCTTAAAGTTCCAGACTCCTGGAAAGCAACTAAATTAGCTGGAAAGGATTGGTTTACTGGATTTTTAAGTCGACAACCTGATTTGACCATAAAATCCCCAGAAAATACAAGTTTAGCGAAAATTTCAAGTTTTAATAAATCTACGGTTGGGATATTTCAAGATAAATTGAAGGAGGTTCTGAAAAGGCACGAATTTACTGGATCAGACATTTAATTTGGACGAGACAGGAATTACAACAGTCCAAAAAACGCCAGTGGTTGCCACTAAAGGCCAGCATCAAGTGGGTAAGATCGTTTCGCGTGAGAAAGGAGAATTGGTTACACAAGTAGGCATTATTGCAGCGAATTGAATAGCACTTCCTCCATTGTGGGTGTTTCCAAGAAAAAAATTTGACAAACATCGAATGCTAAGTGGTATTCCAGACGAGTATGCGGCACAACCGGCTTAATTCATTCGTCTGGATGGATGACAAGCGATAATTTTTACGAGTTTAGAACATTTTGTAGTTCATGTTCGATGTTCTAAAGAATGCCAAGTCATTCTCATAATGGACAATCACGAATCTCATTTATCTGTCCCTGCAATTGATTACTGGAAAGACAATTCTAACTCTTCCACCCCACACATCTAACAAACTACATCCTTTAGATAGGACTATTTTCGGCCCAATCAAAAGATGTTTGAATCAAGGGGCAGATGACTGGATGCTCTCTCATCCAAGACAGACGTTGTTAATTTATGATCTGGCATCAATATGCATGAAAGTTTGGGATCGATCTGCAACTCCCTCAAACATAAAATCTGGATTCCGTTGCGCTGGAATTTGGCTGACAGAAACAAATAATTAATTAAAACTAAAGTTTTGTCAATTATTTCCGGTTTATTTCTGTTATTACATACATTATTAATTTTTTCCAATAACTGTGCTCGGGCATTAAGTGATTTTTATAAATTCCACACCAAAAATTTTATGTATAAGTCGCTGTACTTTTTGTACATAAAATAGATACAAATTTAATTTTTTTTAAGTTCTCCATACACTTGTTCTGGTACCTAGGTACTGCTTATCCATTACTAAAGGTATCTGCCCATTAAACCTTACCATACTAAGACCATAACCGTATCGAAACATACAAACAAATATTCTTTGCATGTTTTGATATGCGACAACGCCCACTAGACCGTTCCGTCACCGGCCAACATCGTAGCGTTCCATGACAGGACCGTCAACATCAACAATTTCACGGCGAGAATATTTTGCAGGTATCGAACGCACCGATGGTAAGCTATGTTGTATGCGAGGATAAAACGCTGTTGATTCGCTGCAGTGGGCCCAGTAGTGACCGGAGTGATTTCTTTCGTGCCTGACACCTTCCTGTTATGGTCATGATATGGTACGCTATAGTGGGCAGAGAGCTTAATTCTTACACTTACGTAAGGATGATTTGGAACCACCTCATTCATTTCCTCTCTCCACGTTCATCTTTAGGTGATTATATTAGGAAATTAAAATGAAATGAAACTAAACGAACTAAAATTCTAATGAAATTAAATTTAAAAGTTCAAAAAACTAGATATTTTATAAACGAGCTAAAAACTCAATTTAGTCAACTGCTAATATGCGCCAAATTACATTATCACTCATTCCGTACTAAACATGATTGATGTAAAATTGTATAATACCAGTAGCTTACGTCAAATAATATCATTTATTTCATGTACAGTATTTTGAGCTACATTACTTTTGTTCATGAGTGTAAGTTTCTAATGGTATGAAAATAAGTATTTCAGGATGACGTTTTATTTTAGTAATGAAAAATATGCAGACATTATTTTTGTATTCGGTTTTTGTAACGGAAACGGTAGAGTAGCAGTAAGAGAGTATCGCAGGTTTTTGAATTCAGTAAGAAACATGAAATATTTCCAACTACAGTTAAACATGCTACGAGGAATAATCTTCGACAAGAAGAAGAAGAAGAAGAAGAAGAAGAAGAAGAAGAAGAAGAAGAAGAAGAAGAAGAAGAAGAAGAAGAAGAAGAAGAAGAAGAAGAAGAAGAAGAAGAAGAAGAAGAAGAAGAAGAAGAAGAAGAAGAAGAAGAAGAAGAAGAAGAAGAAGAAGAAGAAGAAGAAGAAGAAGAAGAAGAAGAAGAAGAAGAAGAAGAAGAAGAAGAAGAAGAAGAAGAAGAAGAAGAAGAAGAAGAGATACTACAGATAGCTTGAAATAATCCTTATCAGTGTAAGAAGAATTAGTAATGAATTAGCAGTACTGAAAAAGAGTATGGAAAACTTAAAAAAAAGAAAATTTGCATCCATTTCATGTACAAGAAGTTCAGCGACTTAAGCACGGAGATGACGTTCCCCGCTTATCTTTTTGCAGATGGACTTTGGCCCACAGAAGGATAATGTCGAGAATTTTATTTACTGATGAATCCCAATTTACACGTGATGGGATCAATAATACTAGGAATGGTAATATTTGAGCAACTAAAAATGCTCACACTTTATCACAAAAACATTCCCAATATAGATTTTCTATAAATGTATGGTGTGGTATTTATAAAAATCATTTAATAGGCCCTCATGTTTTTGAATGCAGATTAAAAGTTTATTTAAATTTCATTAGAGACATCTTGCCAAATTTGTTCAAAGAGATTAATACCAGAGGAATGTGGTTTCAACACGATTGTGCTGGACCTCATTTTCCTATACTTTTTAGAGACCATTTAAATCAAAGTTTCTCAAATAGATGGATAGGTCGAGGCGGTCCCGTTAATTGGCCACCAAGATCTCCAGATCTAACACCTCTGGATTATTTTTTATGGGGCTACGTTCAATCAGAAGTATACAATGAAGAAATGAATACCCAAGCACAGTTATTGGAAAAAATTAATAATGTAACAACATTAGAAATAAACCGGAAATAATTGACAAATCAGTGAAAAACCTCTAAAACGTTCTAGAGGTGTATTGACGTTCACGGTGTATTGACGTTCACGGTGTTTATTTTCAAAATCTACTTTTAATTAATTATTCGTTTCTGTTAGTGCGTTCTGTTACTTTATCAAATAAAATGAGCCCGGTCCTGTGTAGATATTTAATTTCTTATTGAAAAATACAGTTGTTAAAAATAAATTAAGATGGTATCTAATTTGTGTAGAGTTTTAAAAATATAGAGTAAAATATTTGATTTCGATATTGTAAATACTAATTTATAATATGAGGGACTAGGGCCTCTAAACCTAAGAGGTGCAAGCATCCAGCTTAAGGGGGAGGTAAAATATCTCGGGGTTATGATTGACTCGAGACTTACCTGGAACCAGCATCTAGAAAGAACCACAAGGAGAGCAGAAACCTCATTAATGATGGCAAGGCGATCCTTTGGAAAAAAATGGGGGTTAAAACCAGACATGGTATACTGGCTTTATAACATGGTGGTGAGACCCATAATAACATACGCAGCTTTGGTGTGGTGGCCAAAGACACAGCAAAGGAAAGCAATAACGAGGCTAAGCAAGGTACAAAGACTTGCCTGCCTCGGAATAACGGGGGCAATGAAAACAACCCCCACTGCTGCAATGGAAGCACTAATAGCACTCCCACCACTTCACTATGTGATACAAGGGGAGGCAAGATTAGGTGCTTACAGATTAGGGAATACACTGGGAAATCTTGACATTAGGCCAGGTCACATGAGTATCTCAAGGTTAGTGACAGGAGACGTGCTAGACATGAGATCAGACCACATAACCAAGAGGTACTCTTTTAATACTCCCTTTGAGGTTTTAATACAGGAAAGAGCGGAGATCACCATAAGGGAGCCCAATGCCGAACGACGGGAACAAACCTGGTATACAGACGGGTCTAAGACTGCGGAAGGCACTGGGGCAGGAGTATTCTCCAAAAACCCTGATACTAACCATAGCTATGCTATAGGAATACATTCCTCGGTATTTCAGGCCGAGGTATACGCAATTTTGCAATGTGCAAAAACGAACAATGAAAGAGCTGTCGAAAATCAGCATATTCAAATAATG